TCAGTGATTCTGGGATTTTTAAGTGATGCCTTCCAAGAAAAGGTTCTAATAAATTAGAATGTATTAAGTATTCTTTTCATGCTGTGGTAACTTTTACACTGAGGTAACCTAAGAACAGCAGAGAGTTTGACTTTAAATGGGGATTTAGCAAGTAGATCCCCTAAAATGGAGAATGGTCTTCATGTGAAAAGTTTTGTGTAGTTAAATATTGATGAAATCAGGTTCTAAACTTAGCACTGTGCATTGTTTGCAGTTATTCCCTAAAACTTGGTGCTTCTGTCATAGCCCTGTGTTAAAACAGAATGAACTAAAGGCCCTTGAGATTTTGACTGTGTTACAATTTTGGAGCTGCATGTGCATGGGAGAGTTCCAAATAATTTGTGAAAGCTTCAGTTTAAACTTAATTAATTACTTGAAATGATGATGAGCTTATTTTAGTGGTTCTTGCTTTTTTTAAAAAAAAAAAAAGCAAACACACCAAAAAACCTCCCACCCCCCTAAAAAAATCCACAAGAAAGATCAGAAAACCCCCACAAAAACCTGTGTTTTGTCCTGCTTTTTGGGAAATGTTTTTGGGATTGAGGTGTCCCAAAATGAGGAAATGTCAGGAATTCAGGTTGCACAGCTGCTCCCTGCTGCTGTGTCCCAGGTTCTGGTAAAGCCCTGCCAGCAGATTGCTGAGCAGGCTTCTGGTAGGAAAAAGAGGCACAAACCAACTCCTGACAAACCCTCCCTGCTCGATGGGAAAGTTTTTAATGAGGCAAGAACAGTAATTAATCCACAGAGCTGCTTTGAAGAAGTTTCCAAACGAATCCTCCTTGTGATGGCAGGAAAATCATTTCCCCAAATCAATCTCTACATTTCCACCTGTGGCTGTTTGGTGGAACAAGAACTGAGATGAGGGATTTGTTTCCCATCCCCAGAGAATCAGAATTGGGCATTTTTTTGCTGCCTTCATTCCTGACATTTTCTGGGACACCTTAATCCCAAAGCATTTCCCAAAAAGCAGCACAGAACACAGGTTTTTGTGACAGTAATTAATCCACAGAGCTGCTTTGAAGAAGTTTCCAAACGAATCCTCCTTGTGATGGCAGGAAAATCATTTCCCCAAATCAATCTCTACATTTCCACCTGTGGCTGTTTGGTGGAACAAGAACTGAGATGAGGGATTTGTTTCCCATCCCCAGAGAATCAGAATTGGGCATTTTTTTGCTGCCTTCATTCCTGACATTTTCTGGGACACCTTAATCCCAAAGCATTTCCCAAAAAGCAGCACAGAACAGGTTTTTGTGGTCCTTTCTTGTGGATTTTTTTTTTTTTTTGAGGGGGTGGAAGGTTTTTTGCTTTGTGTGTTTGTTTGTTGGTTTTTGTTTTTTTTTTTTTAGGGGGGTGGAAGGTTTTTTTGCTTTGTGTGTCTGTTTGTTGGTTTGGTTTTTTTTTAGAGCAAGAACTACTAAAAAAAGCTCATCACCATTTCAAGTAATTAATGAAGTTTAACCTGAAGCTTTCACAAGCTATTTGGAGCTCTCCCACACACATTCAGCTCCAAAATTACAACACAGTCAAAATCTTAAGTGCTTTTAGATCATTCTATTTTAACACAGGACCATGATGTTTCCACCTGTGGCTGTTGAGTGGAACAAGAAGCAAGCTGAGGGATTTATTTCCCATCCCCAGAGAATCAGGAATTGGGCATTTTCCTGCTGCCTTCTTTTTCTCCCAGCCCATTCCTGGAGTGTTTCCACCTGTGGCTCTTGAGTGGAACAAGAACTGAGCTGAGGAATTTATTTCCCATCCCCAGAGAATCAGAATTAGGCATTTTCCTGCTGCCTTCTCTTTCTCCCCAGCCCCTTCCAGCATTTCCACCTGTGATTATTGAGTGGAACAAGAAGCAAGCTGAGGGATTTATTTCCCATCCCCAGAGAATCAGAATTGGGCATTTTCCTGCTGTTTAACACAGGACCATCATGTTTTCACCTGTGGCTGTTGAGTGGAACAAGAAGCGAGCTGAGGGATTTATTTCCCATCCCCAGAGAATCAGAATTAGGCATTTTCCTGCTGCCTTCTCTTTCTCCCCAGCCCATTCCTGAAGCGTTTCCACCTGTGGCTCTTGAGTGGATCAAGAACTGAGCTGAGGAATTTATTTCCCTATCCCCAGAGAATCAGAATTAGGCATTTTCCTGCTGCCTTCTCTTTCTCCCCAGCCCCTTCCAGCATTTCCACCTGTGATTATTGAGTGGAACAAGAAGCAAGCTGAGGGATTTGTTTCCCATCCCCAGAGAGTCAGAACTGAGCATTTTCCTGATGCCTTCAGTGCAGCCCATTCCTGGAGCATTTCCACCTGTGATTATTGAGTGGAACAAGAAGCAAGCTGAGGGATTTGTTTCCCATCCCCAGAGAATCAGAATTAGGCATTTTCCTGCTGCCTTCCTTTTCTCCCCAGCCCATTGCTGGAGCATTTCCACCTGTAGCTCTTGAGTGGAACAAGAACTGAGCTGAGGGATTTATTCCTATCCCCAGAGAGTCAGAATTGGGCATTTTCCTGCTGCCTTCCTTTTCTCCCCAGCCCCTTCCCGGAGCGTTCTGCCGAGGCAGGACAGGAACATTTTCCATCCGTGGAATGGAAGCTGCATGGAATTACTGCCAGTGGAAACTATGCTGCAAGAGGCTGAGCTGCTCAGCTCAGCTGCATTTTCCATGCTCCCGGTAATTAGCAGAGGGAAGCTGACTAATTACTGACGTCACCTCTTTCCAGTCCCGCTTACATTTTGTTCCCAAGCATGCGGGACTGCGCTCAGGAATTCGCTGTCACCCACAGGATGCTCTGAGAGCTTTTTGTCACCAGGGGCTGGGCTGGCTCTGCTTTATAAACGCCGGGAGCAGCAGGCAGGGCTCCTGAGCTGCCGGGATCCCGGCCCCAAAATGCATTTCCGTAATTTCCACTACAGCTTCGGCTCGCTCATCGCCTGCCTGCCCGATGGGGAGCTCTTCACCCAGCCAGAAACGAGGGTAGGTTTTGCTTTCGGGGTTATTTCTGCACTCCAGAGGTGAGGCTTGGACTTGGAAGGAAATTGCAGCTTGCCTTAAAAGTCTTAGAGCTTGGGAGTCTGCAGCAGGATGCTCTGATGGGAATGATTCCAGCTCTGGGAATTATTCTGTGTGGTTGGGAAAATTATCTCAAGTTTCCCTCCAGACTTCTTGGATTGTGAATTTTCAGCAAATATTTGATCAGTTCTGGCATGGCTGCCCGGGGAGGGGGTGCAGTCCCCATCCCTGGGGTGTTTAACAAAACCTGCATGTGGCACTGGGGTTTGGTTGAGCTCTTGGGGCTGGGCTGGACTGGGTGGTCTCAAAGGTCTCTCCCACCCTGGTCATTCTGGGATTCTGTAATTCGGATTTTAGAGAAAAAGGCAGGACACAGCTTCGAGCTCCTGCATGTTGGGGTTTCAAACTTCCCATCAAGAATCCTCCTAATTAAATATTCTTAATAATTTATTATGAAATATTTTTTATCAGAGATTTTATTTCCCTGCAATGGGTTTTGGAAGCAGAGGTTGTTTTTGCTGGAATAAATAAGTAAATAAATGAATAAATAACACAGCAGCCTCAGTTTGTGTGGGAGTTCAGAGCTGCTCCATGCTGCTGTTCCTTTACTAATTCTGGTAGCAAGATCCACAAATTTGTGATCCATATGATACTTCTGGGATTTTTTTTCCTGGTAAAACTATAAGAAATCCTCTTGGGTCTGTATTAGCTGATTGGCAATAGAAATTAAATAATAATGGAAATATAAAAGAATATAAAATATTTATCAGTCCTGATACAGTGAGCTGTTACTGCTAAGATACCTTCAGGACAAAAATAACTTTTTTTTTTTAGTATCATGGTGATAAAGTGACATTTCTGACCTCTATAATCACACATTTAAATAAATAATAATAATTACAATAAACCAACCCAGATCTCTCTGTCTTTACACACAGAATGGGAACTTGGAAATGCAATTTTGGGGTGTATTTTCCATGGTTCCGTCTCAGCTCTGAGATATTCCAAAAGTGAATTTTGAGGTATCCCAAACACCAGCTCTGTGTGGGGAGGGTCCTGCTCCTGTCTCAGAGCTCATTCTGCAGAAGCTGGAGAAGCAGAGCAGCTCTGATTTTAAAATCTCTTTGAAATAGAATGATTTTATACCCAGCTGTGGTGAGTGTGTGAGGTGGAGCTTCTCAGGGAGGAAAACGAAATTCTGAATTAATTTCTGCCTTCTTATGTAATTTCCATGCTTTTTTTCCCCTACTAATTCAAAATATTGTAGTAAAAAAACCCTCAATGGAATAATGTTTATTGTGGCTTTATCCTGAGTTTCTAGGAAGCTTTTAGAAAATATCTGGAAATTCCTCCAGTTTGAATATATTGGAATAAAACACTTGGGAAGGGCCTGGCAGCTCCAGAGCCTCCTCTTGGCCTGGAATCCTGCAGGGAGAGTGGAAGCACTTCCCATAAATTAAATTAAACAGAGCAGGGAAGCAGGAGATGTTCATGGACTTCATTCTTTGTGCTGAGCCACTGAAGAAAATCACATTTAGCTTGAAAATCAGGATTTTCTCATGTTTCTCTATTAAAACTTGTGCTGGTTCCACTGGAATTTGCACATTTGGGCAAAGGCTGGGCAGAGTTTTTTGTCAAGCTTTGTGGGTATTAATTTTCTAAGAAGCATTTCAATATCTTCTGTAGCTAAATTAGAGTGTTCTGTCCAACATTAATTTCTGATAATAATATAATGAGTGATAATATCACTTATTAATAATCTATTTTAATGACACAGAGAAATAAGGGATAAGGTACAAAGCTTCATTGTAGAAAGAAAAAGGAAAATAAGTGAAGCTTTTGCAATAATGAATATTCAGGAGTGGTAATTTGCTCTTATTAATCACTTCTAATTTTAAATTAATTTCTTTATTAGAGTTCAATGCTGATTTTCTCCTCTGCTCCTTTCTCTCCAGGCCAAGTTTGAATCCCTGTTCCGACCCTACGACAGGGACCTCACCTTTCAGTATTTTAAGAGCTTCAAAAGAGTGAGAATCAACTTCAGCAACCCCTTGTCTGCAGCAGATGCCAGGATCCAGCTGGACAAGACAGAATTCCTTGGAAAAGAGCTCAAGCTCTATTTTGCTCAGGTAAAAAAAGCTGGTTGGGATTATCCTGGGAGGATTAAAGCTTTCCTTCTTCTGACTCCCATAAATCCTCCAGCTGATGTGGAGGATTTATTTTTCCAAGCTGGTGTTTGGAAAACCCCAATTTTGGGGTTAAATTTTGGGTTTGGGATAAAAGATTATGGGAATTTTGGGAATTTAACCCTTTTTCTTACACTGAGTTTTGTGTATGTTTCTTCCTTCAATTCCTTCTCCTCAGGTAATTTCTTTCTTTTCTAGAGTTTCTCCCAAGTTTCTGGAAATCTGGGAATTTTTCCAAGTATTTATAAAACTCAGCATCCCAGAATTCCTTCATGGTCATTTTTTGTTAGATTAATTAGAGAATCCAAGGTTGTTCCAGAGCTCCACACATTTGGAGGCCGTTGATATTTCCCATTTTTTGGATAACCTTGGATGGGAATGAGAACATTCCAGGAATTTAAAGGGATGGGGGAGGCTGGGTGGGCTCTGCCAGCACCCAGAGAGTCCCTGGGGGATTGAAAGTGTGGAGCTGCACATTCCAGGCTCTGGAGCTGCAGGTTCCAGGCTCTCCCTCCCCTTCCCAGTCTTGGGGATCTCTCCCAGAGCAGCTCTGGAGCTCCCTACTCTCTTTTCCTGCCCAAACTCGGGCTCTGGCAATCAGGCTGCTTTTCCAGCTGCTTTTCCCTCTGAAAATTGAGTGGGAAAACAAATCCAGAAGTGTTGGACACCCCCCATGATCCAGGTTATTTTTATCCCTGCTGGAATTCCCTCCACTCCCACTTTTGGGGATGACTCCCAGCACCATTTGTCATGGAGCCTTAGAGCCCTGTCCTGCTGGAGGTTTGGAAGGGCAGGGGTTTGATTTTTAGGGAAGAACTTCCCAGTGGAATTTCCCTCGGAGCTGTGTCCTGGCTGGTGCTGCCACCCTGAGTGCCGGGCAGGGCACGACAGCCCCGGGATGCAGGAATGCAGGGAGAAAAGGATGCAGGAATTGGGGGATTCAGGGATGAAAGGATGCAGGGTTGCAGTTGCTCAGGGATTTGGGGATGTAGGGATTCAGGGGTGCAAAGGTTCAGGGATATAGGAATTGAGGGATGTGGAGATTCAGGAACTGAGGGATGCAGGAGTGCAGGGATGAAGGTATTCAGGGATACAGTGGTGCAGGGATTGAGAGATGCAGGAATTCAGGCATGCAGGAATTGAGGGATGCAGGGGTGCGGGGATTCAATGGTGCAGGGGTGAAAGGATGCAGGGATTGGGGGATTCAGGGATGAAAGGATGCAGGGTTGCAGTTATTCAGGGATTCAGGGGTGTAGGGATGCAGGGATGTAGGAATTGGGATGTAGAGATTCAGGAATTGAGGGATGCAGGGGTGCAGGGATTCAATGGTGCAGGGGTGAAAGGATGCAGGGATGCAGGCATTCAGGAATATAGGAATTGAGGGATGCAGGGAAAAAAGGATGCAGGGGTGCAGGGATTCAGGCATTGAGAGATGCAGGGAAGAAAAGATGGCAGGGTTGCAGGCATTCAGTGTTGCAGGAATTCAGGCATTCAGGGATGCAGGGAGGAAAGGATTCAGGGGTGCAGGCATTCAGGGATTTAAGGATGGAAGAATTCAGGGATGCGGGAATTCAGGCATTCAGGGATGCATGCATTCAGGGGTGCAGGAATTCAGGGATGCAGGGATTCAGGGGTGCAGGAATTCAGGCATTCAGGGATGCAGGGAGGAAAGGATTCAGGGGTGCAGGCATTCAGGGATGCAGGTATTCAGGGATTTAAGGATGCAGGAATTCAGGCATTCAGGAGTGCAGGGATACAGGGATGCAGGCATTCCAGGATGCAGGTATGCAGCCATTCAGGGGTGCAAGAATGCAGAGATTCAGGGATGCAGGAATTCAGGGGTGCAGGCATTCAGGCATTCAGGGGTGCAGAGATTCAGGGATGCAGGCATTCAGGGACACCTTGGGCTCATCTGGTTTCTCTTGCAGACTCTGCACATCGGGAGCTCCCACCTGGCCCCCCCAAATCCAGACAAGCAGTTCCTGATCTCCCCTCCTGCCTCTCCTCCCGTGGACTGGAAACAAGTGGAGGATGCCACTCCAGTCATTAACTACGACCTCCTCTATGCCATCTCCAAGCTAGGACCAGGTAAGGAGGTGGAAAAAACAGAATTTTGGTTGAGGAAAACACTTCAAAACTTCCTGGGTTTCTAAAGGTTTTCCAAGAAATTTTTATTTCCATTTATTTTTATTTCTATTTATTTTTCTTTCTATTTATATGTTAGTTCTATTTATATTTTCTTTCTATTTATGTTTTAGTTCTATTTAATTTTATTTCCATTTATATTTTATTTCTATTTATGTTTTGGGTTTATTTTTATTTATTCTTACTTATATTTGCTTTCTGTTTATTTTTATTTCTATTTATATTTTAGTTCTATTTATATTTTTTTTCTATTTATGTTTTAGTTCTATTTATATTTTAGTTCTATTTAATTTTATTTCCATTTATATTTTCTATCTATTTATATTTTGGTTTTATTTTTATTTATTCTCAGTTTTATTAGCTTTCTGTTTATTTTTATTTCTATTTATATTTTAGTTCTATTTTTTAATTTATATTTTATATCTATTTATTTTTATTCCTTTTTTATTTCTATTTATATTTTCTTTCTATATTTATTTTCTTTCTATTTCTATTTATTTTTATTAATTTCTAATTTATTTCTATTTTGGTTTTCTTTATTTTTATTTTCTATTTCTTTTTATTTCTATTTTTTTTTCTATTTATTTTTACTTCTGTTTTCCTCAGAGGAGGAAACTGCTACTGAGTGTAAGAGGAATTATCAGTATGAACCTAAAATTCCTTGGAATTTAAGAGGGATAAATTCCTGCCACTCCTTTCCCCAGTGATTAATGATCTCATCCTTTGATTTCCTTTTTCTCCCATATTTTATACAACTTATCCATGAAAATTGGTGCCAATTAATCTTCCCTTAAATCCAGCTCAGATTTAACCTTTTTGGGGCTGTATTATTAATTTTAGGGGAGCAAAAAATGTCATATTTAATAACATTAAACAGAATTAAATTATTCTTATTATATGAGAATAATTATTCTCATTAATAAGATTAAAGAGAATGAAAACTGTGTCAGATTCCTTTTACTGGAGGATTTTTTAAATTCCTGTTCACCTGCAAACTTAGGGATTTGTAAAGGCTGGAGAAAAGGGCAGGGCACAACTTTGAGCTCCTGCATGTTGGCATTTCAAACTTCCCATCAAGAATCCTCCTAATTAAATATTATAAACAATTTATTATTAAATATTCTTACCAGAGATTTTATTTCCCTGCAACGGATTTTGGAAGCAGAGGTTGTTTTTGATGGAACACTTGCAATAAATAAGATAAAAAATGAATAAATGAATAAATAACACAGCAGCCTCAGTTTGTGTGGGAGTTCAGAGCTGCTTCATGCTGCTGTTCCTTTACTCCAAGTTTTCCTTCCAAATTTTAGGAAAACCAAAAAGAAACTTTAGAACAAATATTTTCAGCTTTCCAAGCATTAAAAATTGGTCATTTTCCCCTGTTACTGAGCATTTCCTATGGAATTTTTCCACCTCAAAACTCCATTGAAAATTCGCTATGTCACATTTCCTAAAAAACCCCATTAAAAAGTCACCTTGTCCCATTTCCTAAGGAATTTTCTCCCCTGAAAAATCACCATGTCCCATTTCCTAAAAAAACCCATTGAAAAGTCACGTCACATTTCTTTAAAAAAAAACAAAAATTCACATTACGTTTTCAAAAAAAACCCACAGAAAATTTACCATGTCACATTTCCTAAATAATTTTCTTCCCTTAAAAATCGCCATGTCCCATTTCCTAAGGAATTTCCCCGCCTAAAAACCCCATAGAAAATTCACTATGTCACATTTTCTAAAAAAAACCCATTAAAAAGTCACCATGTTGTATTTCCTAAGGAGTTTTCTTTGCTGAAAAATCACCATGTCATGTTTCCTAAAAAAAATAAACATTAAAAATTCACCATGTCCCTTTTCCTCAGGAATTTCCTTGCCTAAAAACCTCATTAAAATTCACCATGTCCCATTTCCTCAGGAGTTTCCCACCTTAAACCCCATTAAAAGCCCCCAGGTGCTCTTTCTTCACGAATTCCCCACCTAAAAACCCCATTAAAAAATCATCATGTCCCATTTCCTCGGGAATTCCCCACCAAAAAGCCCCCAGGTGACATTTCCTCAGGAATTCCCACCATGGAGAAGCCCCCAGGTGATCTTTCCTCAGGAATTCCCCACCTAAAAACCCCCTGGAAAAGCTCTCAGGTGCCCTTCCCTCAAGAGTTCCCCCTCTGGAAAAACCCCATTGAAAAGCCCCCAGGTGACCTTTCCTCAGGAATTCCCACCTAAAAACCCCATTAAAAAATCACCATGTCCCATTTCCTCAGGAGTTCCCCACTTAAAACCCCATTAAGAAACCCCCAGGTGCCCTTTCCTCAGGAATTCTCCTCCTAAAAACCCACTGGAAGAGCTCTCAGGTGCCCTTTCCTCAGGAATTTCCCCACCTAAAAACCCCCTGGAAAAGCCCCCAGGTGAATTTTCCACAGGAATTCCCCACCTAAAACCTCCATGGAAAAGCCCCCAGGGGAATTTTCCTCAGGAATTCTCCACCTAAAAACCCCATTAGAAAATCAGCATGTCCCATTTCCTCAGGAATTCGCCCCCTGAAACCCCCATGGAAAATCCCCCAGGTGAATTTTCCTCAGGAATTCCCCCTCTAAATCCCCCCTGGGGAAGCCTCCAGATGCCCCTTCCTCAAGAATTCCCCATCTAAAACCTCCATGGAGAAGCCCCTAAGTGCCCTTTCCTCAGGAGTTCCCCCCCTAAAAACCCCATTAAAAAATCACCATGTCCCATTTCCTCAGGAGTTCCCCCACTAAAAACTCCACGGAGAAGCCCCCAGGTCACCTTTCTTCAGGACTTCCCCACCTAAAAACCCCATTAAAAAATCACCATATCCCATTTCCTCAGGAATTACCCTCCTGAAACCCCCATGGAAAAGCCCCCAGGTGAATTTTCCTCAGGAATTCCCCCTCTAAATCCCCCCTGGGAAAGCCCCCAGGTGCCCTTTCCTCAGGAATTCCCCCCCTAAATCCCTCATGGAAAAGTCCCCAAGTGACCTTCCCTCAGGAATTCCCCTCCTAAATCCCCCATGGAGAAGCCCCCAGGTGACCTTTCCTCAGGAATTCCATATGTAAAACCCCATTAAAAAGTCACCATGTGCCCTTTCCTCAGGAATTCCCCCCTAAATCCCCCATGGAAAAGTCCCCAAGTGACCTTCCCTCAGGAATTCCCCTCCTAAATCCCCCATGGAGAAGCCCCCAGGTGCCCTTTCCTCAGGAGTTCCCCACTTAAAAACCCCATTAAAAAGTCACCATGTCCCATTTCCTCAGGAGTTCCCCACCATGGAAAAGCCCCCAGGTGCCCTTTCCTCAGGAATTCCCCTCCTAAAACCCCCATCGAAAAGCCATCAGGTGACCTTTCCTGAGGAATTCCCCACCTAAAAGTCCTCTGGAAAAGCCCCCAGGTGAATTTTCCTCAGGACTTCCCCACCTAAAAACCCCATTAAAAAATCACCATGTCCCATTTCCTCAGGAATTCCCCCCCTAAATCCCCCATGGAAAAGCCCCCAGGTGCCCTTTCCTCAGAAATTCCCCACCTAAAAGCCCCATAAAAAAATCACCATGTCCCATTTCCTCAGGAGTTCCCTCCCTAAAACCCCCCTGGAGCAGCTCTCAGGTGCCCTTTCCTCAGGAATTCCCACCATGGAGAGGCCCCCATGTGCCCTTTCCCTCAGGCATTCCCGTTTTTCCCTCCCCAGGGGACAAGTACGAGCTGCACGCGGCCACGGCCACCACGCCCAGCGTGGTCGTGCACGTGTGCGAGAGCGACCCCGAGGGCGAGGCCGAGGAGGAGCCCAGGAAACCCAAACCCAAAATCATCCAGACCCGCCGGCCCGACTACACCCCCGCCCCGCTGAGCTGAGCCCGGCCCAGCTGCTGCTTCTTCCGGAGGAAATCCACAATTCCAGGGGTTTTCCCAAGGATTTGCGGTGGAAATCAGCCCAGCTGTGGTGGCCCAGCTGCAGCCGCGGGAGGAGAATTCCAGGTTTGGTCCTGGTGAAAGAATTTCCGTGCTCAGTTTGGAGTGTTGGTCCACGTGCTGAGTGAATTCCCAGATTCTGGGAACAAAGGATGGGAGAAGGGGACATTTTGGGACATAACAGGACAAGCTGGGCTTATTCTGGGGGAAAATTCCTTGTTGTGACACCCCTGATGGGTGTTTGGAAAACCTTGGGATGACAGGGTTGGAGAGATGATGGGAATTTTGGGAATTTAACCCTTTTTCTTACACTAGGTTTTGTGCATGTTTCTTCTTGGTCTTCTCAAGTAATTTGCTTTCTTTTCTAGAGTTTCTCCCGAGTTTCTGGAGATCTGGGAATTGTTTCAAAGTATTTATTATCTCAGCATCCCAGAATTCCTCCTGGATGTGTACATACATGATGTATTTATATTTGGTTTTATTGGCACTCGTTTTCCAGCAGGATCCAATTCCTCCAGCACCTGCCTTTGGTGCTCTGGAAGTTGTGCTTTTAAAATTTTAACCTTTGGAATTCCTGCAGAGGGTTTTGGGAAAAAAATGCATGGAAAAACGTGCAATAGGAGAGTTGTTGGAAAACATGGATTTTAAATTATTTAAGTTCAGGTAATTTATATCTCCAATAGGATTTGTTTGGGAGTTTTGACTTGAGGGGGGAAAAAAGGACTCAAATAATGCTGATGGTGCATTCAGAGCAGGGGCCACTTGGGGTCTTGGAAAAGGGATGTTGGAGCCTCTCATTGTGTTTTTAGGAATCCAACTGTGGCTCTCTCCTGGTTTGCTCTTGCCACAGTTGGTCTGAGAAGAGATTGAAGCAAATGTTGACTGAAATTCCTGATTGACACCTTGATTTTTAAAAATAATATTTGTTTTAAAGAGAGTGGAGGGAAACAGGGAAGCCCTGACTGGGAGAGAAATGTGGGCCTAGAGACCATGAATGCACTGAATTTCCTGCTCTAGCTTGGATTGTTGTTCCCTGGGAGCTGGGACAAAGCCTGGCTCTGCTGTCTGAGTGGCCCTGGCTCCATGGGAGCTGCTGGGAAGAGCTGATCCATGGACTGCTGCAGCTGGACACCAGGAAAATCAGATTATTTTGGGTCACCCTCAGCTGGCTCCACGTGCTGCATTCAACACCCAAAATAAAGGAATGAATGGAGAAAAACCTGTGTGGGTTTGCCACAACTGCCTTGAAGCCTTTCCAAGACTTTTCCATGTTTCTCAAACGACTGCTGGACTTTGTGTCTCACCACATTCAGTTCAAAGCATTGGGAATAACTCCTGTCCTGTCCTTTTTCCATGAAAAATCCAAGCATGACTTGGGCAGTAGAAACCCAGGTGGCTGCTGCTGTGTTCCCTCCAAAAGCAGAGCTGCTTTTCAGTTCAAACCATCAATAAATCTGATTTTTGTCATTTTAATACCTGACCCCTGCCTGAGGTGGGAACCATGGAAATGTTGGAATGCTCTCAGTGTGTTCCTGGTTGGATCTGCCACCTCCTGTCCCCATGGCTCCAGTGTGCTGCTTGCTTTTTCTGGTTATTTTTGTAATGTTCCAATGGATGCTTAGTTGGTATTTTATACACTTGTATAGCACGGGGCAGATTGAAATTAAAATATTTTATTGTCTTCTTGTAAATGTCCTGGTGTTTTCTGCACAGATCCACTTAAATTTCAGCACCAAAATGGGAATTTTCAGCTTCCAAAGGGGCAGAATGTTGTGCCAGGCCCTCATAAATGATGCCTTGAAAAGGTTTCCAGCTTTGAGAGAGTTGCATGACCTCCACTTGAGAGAATCTGCTCATGAATAAAACCCAGTGAGGGATATTCCAGTGAAAACCTCATTCTTCTGAGCCTCAAGTTCCTAATAAAGGAATCAGCATCTGCTGCTCCAGAATAACCCCTGTGCATTCATAATACATTAAATATTTATATTAAAAAATGAATAATTTGGGGTTTTTTCCAGAGAGGCTCTGGATTCCCCATCCCTGGAAGTGTCCAGGGTCAGGTTGGACGGGGCTTGGAGTAGCCTGGGATGGTGGAAGATGGAATGAGATGAGCTTTAAGGTCCCTCCATCCCAAACCATTCCATGATCCCATGGTTTTTGAAGCTCCTGGAACACAAAAATACATCAGTATTAAATGGTTTTACCTGATAACTTTGAGTCCTTTTGTTACAAAATTAATTAAGGGAAAATGTGAAGGTTTTGCCATGGGAAGGAATGGCAGTCCTGTGATGGCAGAAATAAATTTTTGGTGCCAAATTAAAGCCCTTCCTCGTTAAAGAGGTGAAGGCAACGACCTCAAAAGGACAAAAATTGTTTTTTAATCAGTTTTGTTTCCCAGAGCAGCCCCAAGTGTGGAAACTTTGCTGTTTCACACTGGATCAGTGCAGCAGAAGATTCTCCTTCAGTCCAGACTTGCCAGAGGTGAGGAAGGAATGAACTCCAGAGCTCTGGAGCCATTTGAACAATTTTTGAGCCATCTCTGAACAATTCCAGCAGGGATTTTGCCCGTGGCATCATCACCTGCCTGCTCAAGTTCTGCTTCTGGCTCGTCCTGGGGAACACAAGTTCTTCCTGTCTGCTTTTATCCTGCCTTGGCCAGCACACTTCAGAAACATTTTCCAGGGAATTATTCCCTGCTAATGCTTTTAATAATTCAGGAAAGACAAAGCAATAACAAAACAATGATGAAGACATTCCCCAAGACACTGGTAAAGAACATTTTGACGCTGAGCTTTCAAATAATGCCAAATTTTCAGTGTTACAGGGAGTGAGGGAGAAGCACAGAGGTGACTCCAAGGACAGGGGACAGGATGGAGCTGGCAGGGCTGGATTTATCTTCCCTGACAAAATTTCCATTGATAACAGGGCACTGTCCCATTCCAGACTTTGTCATGTTGAGTGTGTGTGTGTGTTTTCCTGCCAGGAATTCCTTTTGTTTGGAGTTCATTTGGAAATGGCTGGAAAACACATCCTGGGAGGAGCAGCTGGGGGGGTTTGGAATGGACAAGAGGAGGCTCAGGGGGGACCCCACTGCTCCCCAAAAATCCCTGAGAGGAGGGGCAGGGAAAGGAGGAGAGGAGATGGGCTGGAATTGCACCAGAGGAGGCTCAGGTTGGAGATTGGGAAAGAAAAATTCCCTTCACAGGAATGAGCTCAGGGCACAGGGCTGTGTCCAGGTGGCTCTGGAATATTCCAAGGAGGAGATCCCAGGGCTGGCACTGCCCAGGACAGAAGCTGTGCCTCCTGTGAGGGGAATTCCTGGACATCAGCCCCTGCCCATTGCTTGGCACCACTGGGAAGAGCCTGGTGTATCCTCCTGACACCCTGCTGGATGCCCAGGGCTAGAGATAAAGCTTCCTGACCCCACTGAAGATAAACCAAGTTAATTTTCCTTTGTGGAAGTTTCTGAAAGGAATTTCTTTCTTCATGCCCCTCTTAAATTCCATGGGAAGTTTGGATCTGAGCTGCCCAGGGCAGTTTGGGGTCGCTGTGTCTGGCAGTGTCCAGGAGGAGTCTGGATGTCTCCTTGGGGTGATGCTGGCTGGCACTGGGTGCTCCTGAAGGGCTCTTCCCACATTAAAAATCTGGGATTAAGAGCTTTAAAGCAGGACCAAATGGCTGAATCTGAGGAATTTCCAGAGGTACAAGGAGGTGCCCATAGGTGGAGCTAAATATCCAACAATGGCTTTATCCTGAATAAAACCGGCTCAAATAAAACTCAGCCTCCAGCTCTGGCTCCCGTGCCCACAGCAGATGTTGGAAAAGATCTTTGACATCCCTGCCAGCCCTCAGCATTCCATGATTTTATGGTCCCACCTTTCCCAGCTGCTCTTCTGCATCTCACTTTGTAAATCTCTTGGCTTTGAAGGAGCATGAGGGGCCACCCACAGAGAAAAGTGGCTGCTTCCAGATGGAAAAGGTAAATTTTGGGTGCCACCTGTGCCTCTGTAGAAGTGATCCTGATCCCCAGGGTGTGTGGGATTTTCATCCAGGTGATTCCCTGGTGGGAGTCACTGTCAGGCTGATGGGAAGAGCCTGGAGGAGACTCCTGGGACAGCTCAGAGCCTAAAAAGGACCTGAAAAGGAAGGAGAGGGGATTTTTATATGGGCAGAGAGTGCCAGCACACAGGGAACGGTTTTAAATTGACAGAGGGCAGGGCTGGATGGGATTTTGAGCAGGAATTGTTCCCTGGCAGGGTGGGCAGGGGCTGGGATGGAATTCCCAGAGCAGCTGGGGCTGCCCCTGGATCCCTGGCAGTGCCCAAGGCCAGGCTGGGCACTGGGGCTGGAGCAGCCTGGCACAGGGGAAGGTGTCCCTGCCTGTGGGACATGAAAATGATCCTGAAAATCCCTTCCAGCCCAATTCTGGGATTCTCTTAAGTGCCTTTAACAGCAGCATGGATTTTTTTTTTTTTTAACTTTTCTAGGAGCTGAACCATGCTGGGTTGAGCCTTTGTAAGTAAAGTAACGATCCATTTATTGATGTTATTTGATTGGGAAAATGCAGGACTTGCCATAAAAACCAACTTCTCCTTCTCAGCAGCACAACCCTCCCCAAAAGTGTGCCAGTGCCTTCCCTGGAAGGCTGTGGGAGCCTGGATGGCTCCACGTGCTGCCAAGGCATGGAAAGTTCTTGCTGAATGCCTCTCCCACACAGCCCAATTTGGCAGAGGGATTACCATGTGCTGCACCTGCTTTTTAATCTGCTGGACCAATTCTGGCTGCTCAGGCTGGCTCCTGAATCAGCAGGAGCTGCTGGGACGTGCAGGAATGCTGGGCTGGGAGCTGCCACAGCACCACTGCCCTGTCATTAAAGCCATGTCAGAGTTTCCATTCTGAGAGAGCTCCCAGGGCTGAGCTCCTGCAGAAGGGAGGGTTACTCAGCAAATTGCTTGGGGCTTCTGTTGGGTGGTTTTTAATTGGGATTTTAATGTAATGTGAGTTTTTTTAGTGTTGTCTGAGACTTCAGAGCGAAGAGCTGGGGCTCATCCAAACAGATTCCAGACTTTCCTCATGGGTACAGCAGCCCTGTGTTCCTTCTGGAAGATTCCCTGAGGAAACAGCCTCAGGCTGGGCCAGGGCAGGCTCAGCTGGGCCAGCAGCAGGAATTTGCCCATGGAAAGGGTGCTCAGGCCTTGGCAGGGGCTGCCCAGGGAGCTTGGCAGTGCCCATCCCTGCAGGTGTCCCCTGCAGGTGGCACTGAGTGCTCTGGGCTGGGGACAAGGTGCCCATGGGGCACAGCTGGCACTGCCTGGGCTGGCAGGGCTGTGCCAGCCCCAGGGATTTGGGGATTCTGTGATCAAAAAAACACAGGATGGGACACCTGGGGCAGTGCCTTGCTCAGCCAGAGCCACCTTACACAGACTGGAAATGCAATCCTGAAAATCTGGATCTGGAAATCCAGATTTTTTCCACACAGTTTTTCTTCCTCTCTAACAATTTAAACTCCTTCCCAGAGTCCTTCAGCACAAGTGCCCCCTTTCCCTCCAGCCAGGACACTCCCTGTCCTGCCAGGCAGCAGCTCTGACCT